CCCCCAAAACCCCAAAACCCCAAAACCCCAAGTGAGATTATAATATTTGAAGTATGGAAATCCGTAGGAATAAATCTAGAAATGCTCATAAAAGACTAAAGCAGTATTTCTCAAAGAGAGAAATAACTAACAACCAGAATACAAATTTATTTCAAACCCAACCTAATAGTATAATGAGGAATACAAGAACGAGTAACCTCAAACTCCGAACAAGGAACAAGAAGAATTTAAATTTAATGACCTCCATCAAAACTACTCTCCAGACAATCTCAAGAGGAAAATCTAAAAACGAGAAGTAAGAGCCAGTCTATCCTTTATGATTGTTTTTAGCTCACTCTCTCGTCAAGTACGGACAGCGAGGTCCCATTGTAGGATAGTTACTTCTTCGAAAATGGCTAATCCTTCTCAGCCAAAGAAGAGACAGCAGTCAAGTTCAAGGATTAATATTCGTATGGTTCTTTCTAAAAATAGATAATTAAAATTTCGGGGATGAAGACCAAGAATGCTTGGGTACATAGGTAAGTATACAATTACAACTTTAGGAAGAAGAAAAAAGAGAAGAAGCAAGATCTGGATGAAAGTTGGAAGAGACAAGCCTTTGCCACTACAGCAAAGAATTTGGAGTTGATGAAACAGTATTCAAAACTGCAAAGACAAAGCAAGACTCAGAGGGGTTCAAGGAGTAAGGAAGGGTATTATTTTGTAGATAAGGATACCAGAAAATTAATACTGAAAGCACAGGATTACATGGAAAAATGTGCTGTTTTATTAGAAAAAAAAGTACGATCTATCTTTAATCTCTAGAAATAAATCTCTAATTTCACCATTAGTAAGCTTCTCTATCCCTAAAACCACATTTCCCACTTAAAAAAGTCCCAAAAACTCCCTATCCCTTCCTCTAACCCAAATTCCCCAGCCAGACATCCCCAACCCAAAACCCCTCCCCTCCAAGCCTGCTCCCACCTTCTTCTACCCAGACGACACCAAAAAGTTCCAGTCAATCGGTCAAAAATTCCGTGAAAAGCACTCTCAATTCATTGAAGAATGAATTAACTCGCCTAGGCTCTTCAGAGACCTAGAAAACGAAATTGGAGAAATAATCCGTAGGAAGAACAAATAAATTCGCTTCCTACAATACGCAGTCTAAGATACTGTCTCCGTATAGTTCGAGAGCAGAGAATGCTAAGTGAAGAAGACTGAAGGAGGAAGAACAGTTGAGAGCAAAGAGATCAGAGTACATCACAATTGGTAACAAGTGGAAAATTAAGAAGAAAAAGGAGCGAGAAGAAAGACATTTCAGCCTACTTCAACAAAGAAAGAAATTGTTTATTATCCATACATACCTTGCTGGATATCTTAAGTAATCCAAAGCAGTGACAATTTAGGGAGATCTCAGACAAATTTGAGGAAAATAAGTAATTTTAAGATCCTGAAGATTTAGACAAGAAAAGATAGTGCAGTGGTGAGGGAAGATGTTGGGCAAGAAGTTGATATATAAGTACCAGACTTTTATATGAAACAGATCCAGGCTTTTTGAGTATTGTTGGGTAGGGGAATTTTTAGGGAGAGAATGCAGACTCGAATTCAAATGTGCTTTAAGTCAGTGTGGTCCCTTGGAATGGGAGTTACCGTTGAAGAGAGAGCGAGGAAGATATTTTTAATGTTTTTATCAAAAAGACAAGTAAAAACTCGCTTAAAGAGACTTTTTATCAATTATGGAGAGAAACTTCACTCAGTCTTCAGAAAGCTAGAAGCCAACGTATTAAGGAAAAGACAGAAATAAGCAAGAGTTAGTAGATATGTGGGAGGAACAAAAGCTTGAAATCATTAATATCTTGTATGTATTATCTACTTATCAATAGACGTAAATCTAAAAAGACAGTAAAGAATTCGAGGATAAAGAGAAACCTCATCAAACTCCCCAACGAAGTTCGTGACACAGTTCTACGACTATACCTTGAAAAATGTATGCATCTTCTAACCTTTAATAGGTGAGAATCAGCATTCAATAGCTTTCTTCAAGTGGATGGAGAACCACTCCTTCAAGACTGCAGATCTGATCCAGAGTTATATCTCTAGATTAAAATAAAAGTACTACGGAGATTGATAACTACTACCTTGTAAGGTCTCTATTTCATAACTAAAGAAAGATGAAGAGGTGGGTGAAGACAATGAGATCAAAGAGCTTGAGCAAGAAATAGGCATCACGTAAGCCAACCAGCAATCTTTATACATACAGCAAAGAGCCGAATAAAGACCTTGAGGTGCCAGATGAAGAGGACCCATCTCAAGACAAGAGTAAGCAAAGCTCATGATTTTTAGGAGAAAATATCGACTTTTTCATGCTTGATACTAAGGAAGAAGAAGATGACGACTGTATTAACGAAGTAAGCTCGATTGTGACAGCTTATAGTTCGACATGATTGGCATTGAAATCTCTCAGAAGAAGAATAGAAGAAAGAAAGGAAGCATAATTAAAGCATTTAAGGCTCCAATAGATCTACCCTCACAAACTTCAAGGAATATCACAGATAAGATTAAAGGGCTAAGTATTAAGATAAATAGTGATATCAAGGATCCTTCTTTGAGTATTTTATCCTTCACCTTTAGAAAAACAGGAAAGCTTATACAAAACCAGCAACTATCAAACTAAAGGTAAAATATTTTCATCTCCCAAATTCATAACCTAAATTCCCAAATTACTCTAGAAAAACACGGAGGATTAGAAAACCCCCCAAAACTAAAATACAAACCCAGTAAAGCAGTCATGCGAGAACAAATTCTACGATCCCTATATTTCAAAGACAGTAGTAAAAATTAACCTAAAATCCCAAAAATTTCCAAAAATTCAAAAATCCCCAAAATCAAGTTTATACTTCAATTTCGACCGTTTGGAGACCACTAGGAGCTTATTATAGGAAGGCAGGTGAGAGATAGGGTATTTTGTACGGGGAAAGGGCCCTGGATTGTGAAGGATGAGTTTGGAGAGGTGAAATAAAGGGGTTTTAGGGGGGTTTTGGGCAGGAAATTTAGTGGGGCTGGTGAGGTTAGGAGGTGATGTTTAGTGGGGATATTAGGGGGATATTTTGAGGTAGTGGGGTTTTGGGGTTTTGGGGTTTTGGGGTTTTGGGG